TTCATATTTCCGTGGTAGTCATCAGTTTTTTTTTGTTAAAGACAATACTAGACTAGCATTGGGTATAAAACCTTCCGTATTTCCTGCATGCAATATAATATATCTTTTGTCATTACCCGCACTAGTACTCGAATAGCATTTGGTAGAATGATCTTGCCAGGATGATTTGGTATTATTTCCTTTCGCAAAATCCATGTTTCGTCAAGAAACACAAATTGTCTGGCAAATTTGGAATTCTTGTTTTTTAAAGAGTTTCTTATAATTTACCACCTTTCTCCAACAACATTGGGGAGCTCGCACAATACTTTACGATTATTGGTTTTTTTGTATCTAAAACCCATAGCTTTTAATACTTTTCATAAACTGGTCAAACCCATATCACAAAAATTTTTATTTCAAATCCTTTATAAAAGGTATATAATAAAATGCCCAAACGGGCTATCACAATTACATTACAGAACGTTTTTGGAATGTTAATTCCATCATCAGTGTTAACAGAGTGTACATGCTATGAGCTACCAAAATATATGGGTCAAAACCCTTTAAATGTTACAAATTTATAGTTATTTTACATTATTTATGATTCCAAATTAGGATGTTTAAGTTACCGTTGGAATTGGTAACATGGCGACGTTTGACCCTACATAGGTTATACCAATTCCAACAGTAACATCCTAGAATATTTGAATATTTGTAGACTACAAAATTCGATGCAATCCTGCAATAAATCAATAAAACAACCTTCCACAAAGGTATTATTTTTTACTGGATATGATCAACCCTCCGCTTACGTAACATTTTTAATGGTTATATTAGTTTTTTTATTTTTAATTAGTAATTTTTAGAAAAATTAGGTTTCTGAAGTGACCGATTCATCCACTGTCACTCCAATAACTATCCGAGGTGAAACTATTGGCAGTGAAATAATTTCAATTATTGCAAATCTTATATCTCTCCCAGAAAAATCTTAATTTCTCCAGGATATTACTCATACTGCTAATACTTCTCCTTTGTATACGATGAATGATTTGTTGGACTTAAATAATATTTCAGAATTAAATCCTGAAAATGACACCGAAAGTTACACAGACAATATTTCTCAAGAAATCTTAACCGATGGATACTATATTCAGAACCATAATGAACATTCTGATTTAGATACAGCCACTAATTTATTTAATGAGTTGTCCGATTAATATTTTTCTGATGATTTAGTAAATGATCACAATATAATTCACGGTCAAGAAAATAGTAATATAAAATAAATGATCCAAATAATTATAATATTACAAAAGACGACGACAGGCTAATTGCACTCAGGGGACACCTAATATTAATAAACAGTCGAGAATGGAAGGCAAACCTTATCTTGGATTTGCAAAGGGTGAAAATCAAAAGTCCGAACAAAACACCCAGCGATCAGCTCGAAAAATCAAGCCAACTTGTAACAGTACCTTATGTCATAGATCAAAACTTTGATAATGTTCTCTTTTTACTGGAAATATTAGACGTACTATTTTTGATAAATTTTGAAAAATCACTTGTCCACAAAAACAGTCTTTTGTGACTGCTCATGTGATAAAAATTAAGAAAAAAAGAAACACTGTAGATCAAATTGACTCTAGACGCAATTTTACGTTTCAGTATAGATTAAATAATGGACAAAGTGTAAAGCAAGTTTGTCGACAAATGTTTTTGAACACGCTTGATATCAATTACAAAATGGTTCATAGATAGTATCAACAAAGTTCGTATAACATCCCTCGTCTAACACATCAGCGTAATAAACAACTAAGTGACCGACAAAAACTAGCAAGGAGAATCAAGTTCCTTTAGAAATTTTTAAACGATCTGCCCAAACTGCCGTCACACTACGCTCGAAAACATTCACGTAGACTATTTGGAACCCATATTTTATACAATTTCTGAAGTTTTTAAATTGTACTTTAGTAAATGCGAAGCTGAAAGCGTTCCCTCTCTTGGCAGAAAGAAGTTTTCAGAAATTATTTTAACAAAATATTTTAGTTTTTTGCAATAAGAAGAACCAGAGTAATACGTGTTGTAGCTAAAGAACTAGAAACATAACAGAATAACAATGGCAAGCTCATCGAAAACGTAAACAGGAAAGATGAAATGGAAAAAAATCGTGAATCTCAGTTAGGAAATTAGTTTATAATACAATTAGATTTACAGGCTGTAAAATTAGTTCCCTTTACATACGCAAACGCGTTTTATTACATGACCAAGCTTGCCTGCCACAATTTGACAGTATACGATTTGGCTACAAAACATGCCAGTTGCTATTGGTTTTCTAAAAATCGGAATAATCAGCATGGTGCATCAACATTTACTTCTTGTTTACTAGATTTTCTTTCAAGATATTTTGGAACAGAAAATAAAAAAAAACCTATAAAATATTTGCACTGCTCAGCATCGGAATGCAGTTATTGCCTATGCCCTTTTAAATTTCAGTATATTGCATAACATAACAATATATCAGAAATTTTTAGAAGTTCGGCAAACACAGATGGAGGTGGATTCTGTACATGCGTGCATTAAGAGAAAATTAAAAAATAGAGAAATTAAAGTTCCAAGTCATCCATTGTGATCTATATCACAAAACAAACTAAAAAGCTTCTAAACCCATATGAAGCTATTAATTGTGATTTCCGTTTTTTAGGATTATAGCAAAACTTTAGGGTATTCTTCTATTTCGGGTATTCGTCACAGGATGAATAGTAAACAATCAAACTGTTATGGATATAAGTTCTATTGTCTACAGTCAATTAGGACATATTTAGGCAAAACTTAATCACACTGATTTCGTGTGAATTTGACTGATATTCTTTAAGAACGATGTAAAATTTCCAACGTAAAGTGGCAACATTTACAAGAATTAAAAAGTGTTATTCCATCGGATTGTCACATTTTCTATGACAAACACATTTTTTGTAGATAGAACATATTGCCTGATCACCGTTGATATGTAGAAAAATTGGAAAAAAAAATTTTTTGCTACTTGGTTTTACTGGCCACGGTATGCTAACACATAATATAAATTTTCATAAAACAGTTTTAAACCTTTTTGGAGCAATATTGTAACGGTTTCAAAAAAATTAATATTATAATTCCGAGTAATATTCAATTTATTGCTGCTAACGCCATCTATCCGCCGAGTGCATTATAACTGCCTCAAAGACCCTATTGCAGTTCCTAATATCTTCAACCCTCATCTCAAAATCAGAGCGTTCATTAACTCCACGAAATTCATCTCCCACCTTTTTCCTCTCTTTGAACGTCCAAGAGACAAGACGAAAATTCTATTTGAGTGGCCTCTTGACGAGGCACGCCGAAAAATTCCTTTTCCCTTATATATATTCAATTAGGTATTTATTTTAGACCCTTACCGGGAGCCCTAATACAAATATAAAAGTAGAACAAATCAGTATAAAATACGACGAATAAAAAGGTAAGCAAAATATTATAAAAAATGAAAAATGTTCGTAAAACACAGAACTGCACTATTACAGCGACTCTAGGGGAAGGTGGTGGTGACATCATCCCTATCCTCGGCAAGTTTAATCATCGATCGATGCTCCCTCGACGGGTTCGTCTTCTTCTCGGTATCACTTGTCTCATGACTATGTCCTGACGGTAGAAGCTTGTTTCCCATTTAGCGTTCAGTTACCAGGCAAGCACTGCGTGCTACTCCGGGGACCTTCCATCAGATTCCGGGACCTCAAACTCTGAAAAAGACACCTCGTCTCAGGCATCTGGTACACAGAAGACGTCAGATATTTGGATTCACTAGTGCAGGCTTATGCGTAGCAGCGTCACATTAGGAAGTGGGTTCGAAAACCGGTTGGGCGCTATGTCGTCTTATGGGGAGTAGGACTTCTTACATTCTCCACTCTGCCTGTACGCTCTACTTCGGTAAGAAGTACCCCTAGCACTTATCCAATGTAAATTAGGATGTTTTAGAATTCTACCTTCTTGATCTTGGTATAAATTCCATACATGCAATAAAAAGTTCTTCAATACAATAAAAAAGAAATAGAAATAAAAAGACTTCTTTAATGTAGAAAAAAGACTAGCTACAAAGTCTAGGTAAAGAATGCGGCAGAGCTCCGACTTTAGACTACCTAGATCATATGAGGCTCTAGGTAAGGCCGTGGTCGAATGACTGTCCCTTGACTTGAAATCGTGCAAATATTTATAGACAAATTATAAGCCAAGGTCGGCGGGGCGATGCGCATCAAGTATGTTCTAATGGTGGATAGACTAAGGCACTTAATGACAAAAGATCCAACATTTTTGTCAGCTAAGTAACTAGAAGGTAAGAAAACATAATATTGGTTCTACACGCCACACCAGCATTTGGATAATTCAGGTTGTACCCATTTTATATTTTTTTTATTGAACAGTGAAGATTATTCATACACTAAATAACCGTTAAGTAATTTATTATTGATCATTTAATTAAAATGAATATCTACATTCTACCTAATGAACAAATATATTTTTTATGTGAACGAATTTCGCAATTTGAGATTCGAACTTTTTAATGTAGAATCTCTTATTAACTTTTTTTTTTGTTACAAAATAATAAAAGGATAGTTTCGTTTTAAATTTTTTATTTTATTTCTTTTCTGAGCTCCTTTCCTTACGAAGATAAATTTTAAAGAGTGTCGCTTATTTCATTTTAATTTTAAATATAATATTACAAACAGCTTCTATATGATTTTTGAAAGAACCGCACCCAAATTCTCCGACACGAGCAAAAAGATTGTTTGTATACGTGAAGTAAATAGTTTGCTTAGGTTATACAATATTAACAAATTCGGTTTTGTGATGTAACTTCAGCACCCGTAACTATTTTAGGTACAGTTTAGCATATAGCTAAGTTGGGCCAAATCGACTTAATTTTGTCTCTAAAAATCGTGGTATAAGTGTAGCTTGTACACTAAATATAAGTTTATTAATACAAATTATTAACTTACCACTTAAATCTCGTGTTATAAATTTATAACCTACACCAATAAATGGAAGACCAATGGGACCTGGAGTTTTGTAAGAGTACCAGTATAAACGCCTATTTTTCCATAACATTTGTAAGTACAATATAAAAATGGTAACTCCACATAATATAAGCAAATACGTACTAACAATATTTGGAGCGATTTCTTCTACCAATGGGGTTAACATTTTTTGAACAATCTCTAAAGGTTGAGTTAATACAATGGGAGAATCTAAAAAAGTAACAGAAAATATATCAATTTTTTAAAGTTTGTCATATTTTACAATATCTCATGGTAGAAAAAATTTAAATAATACAGTTACACCTGTATAAATTGAACTAACGATAAAAGGACACTATCTCAAAAATATAATCAATGTTAAATAATATACTAACAAAAGAGTCCACTATCATTATCGATCGTGAACTCAACACAAATAATAAAAAGCATACAACTTAAATTTTCGACTGTTTCTTTATTATTATCCGAGATAAAATAACAGTATAATTTGGTGCACCCGCTGCCAGGTCTATGGGCACACCACATCATATTGCTTAATAATCATACAATTGCGTACAATGCAGTGATCCCCATGGTACAAAACCATGTATTATTCGTAAAGATCCTCTTGAAACTTGCTATTTATGCAATGATAGCCATTTAGTCAATTACAGAAGTTGCACTATATATAGAGGCCAATTAAAACAGAGAAACAAAAATAGTGTAAGCAAAACATATAAAAAAATATCCAGTCTACAAGTTAGTTAATCTCTTAGTTAATCCTTTTCCGGGTTCTTTTTCATAAATTGGTAATTTTCGTCGAAGGCGCGTATAGTAATCTTTTGACAATAACATAATCCAAAGGATTGTATGTTTCTCAGGTCCAATTGTTAGTACCGTAAATACCTCAAACTTTCCGAAGTCGTTAAGACCTTATTTTCTCAGAACTATATACGACTGGCCTATGATTCTATTCCTTCTTTTTTCTTGGGCAGTTGGTAAAATTTTAGAAACACCAACTTACTTATGAGTGGGCCGTTGTTGAGAGAAGACTGAATTCTCGTGGGCCGCTTCGCGATACCTTATCGTCTCTATTATCGTACCGTTCTCTGTGTATTTTTTTTAAGTGTGTATACACTTGTTTATTTGAGTATTTTATCTTATACTATATTAGATTAAATATAGTTATAAAGTACCTTTGAGGTTAATTAAATTCAGTGTTTGATACAAGTAAAGTATTAACTTCAGTGAATTAGGCTGCAGTCATCAGGAATTACTGTAAGTTACCGTAATCATTATCTTCAAATTATCTGGGCGAGTAATATGGTATGGTAACATATCATCCTCCATTATCTGGACGTATCTAAAGTTCCTCCATGTCTTCACCTGTCGATTGCTGATTTTTTCTTTCAATTTAAAGAACATTTTAATAGATTCAAGAACTTTCAATAAATAATAATTATGAACATTTAAATCTTAGTTTCTCATTAAATAATAGTGCGAGATAGTTAATCCACTTAGCCAAGTGCGGTTTGGTTAAATTTTTATGTTTTCATTTCTGTAATCTCTTTGTATTTTTGTAAATTTTGATTTAATTAATTTTTGTTATCTTTTGAGTTTGTTATAATTTTTATTCATTTTTTTTTGTAATATCTCGAGGTACGCCCATAACACTTTATTTGTAAATGATTGTCTTATATATCTTTGTAAAGGTATTTGCTAATTACATTACTGCTTATTTTTATGTGTATACCACCATTTTATAGTTGTTGGTGTATTTTTATTACTTGTGTTGCATTCAGCAGCGTCATAATTTTGTTGTTGAATATATTGTTATTGTTTTATGTATGTATTTTATTTGTCGGCTCCTAACAAGTTCCCTGATAAAATAGTAACTCTGAATATTTGCTTTTTATCTTTAAATATTACTATACTTTTGACCAGTAGAAAGATCAGGCTGATTAAGTTTCGTAGGTAAGTAATATATTTATTATTTGTTTATATATTGTGTTGACCAAATTTATTTGATAATTAACTGTTGGTATCTTTCCTTGGTTTGATCTCTGAACCTAAATATCTTTCCTTATCTCTTTTCTTTTCTAAGGTTTCTTAATTTTCTCCTTAACCCCAAAAAATTGAGTGGCGCCCTGTTTCTATCTTATCGTATCTTTGGTAATTTTACCCATCTATCTTTTTGTTTATTTCTATATCTTTTCTAATATCTCTTATCCTATCTTTACTTATTTCGTCCGTTGGACCCATTCCCGATTCCAAAAGCTAGCTTCGAACCCACAACTCGCTCTCCACCAACCATCTGGCTGCCGTCCGCAGTGTCTCCATTGGTTATCTTTCTAGCATCGTCCAAAAAAAAATTCTTAAGTTACAAACTGTCTGACACTATCAGGTATATAAGGTATAACAACTTACCAATATCTTGGAGCTTCACTTTTTTAAGTGGTACTTTACCGGATGGATAACAAAATATTGAGGGAAATTCAACTGATTGATTGTAAATAAAAAAAGTTTATAGGTTTGTTCCATTAACCATAAAAGACCGTCAAACAATCACACCTTTAGCTGTTCCATAGGTAAAGTACATGAAAGAACTTATGCCAAAAGATATCTTATCCTTAACAGAAAGACGTTTTCCTCTTTTTTCCTCAGAAATACCCGTCTTTTTATAGTAGGTTGGCCACCAATGTTAAAAATCTAGTATATCGTCTGTTCTTACTTCTTTGACTGTAAACTTACCTATCGTAGTACACGAAGTAATAATAAGTTCGGAGTTGAGTTTACCTAAAGTACAAGCTGATGATAGCCGCAAATGTCAAACATAGGACAATAAAAATAGGTAAAGAAATAATAATAAGACTTACTCACAATCAATTTAATTTAACAATCTGACGACCGGTTTCGCTTTCTACAATTTGCAAAGCATCTTCAGGTCGAGATACAAAGTTAAACTAATGCTGCAATAAAATAAACCCAATTAGGGTGGTGTCTCATAAAGATAAAATAAACAAATAAATTAGTTCATACAAATTATAGTAATTATGCCAATATTACATGTCTGTGGTTTTCAAAATGAATAATTTGAATATATAAAAGGTATTAACAGACAAGGTAAGACCCACAATTGGTATAAAGTAGCAATCTTATATTGTAATAAATTAATAAATGAGCAAATAAATAAAACAAAACAAACATTACTTACATGCCGGTACTCTATTAATTGATGGATGGTAGGTCATGGTTGCAAAAATCATGTATTGTTGATTGGAGAACTTTAATGTGCTATTGCAGTTGTTTTGACAATAAACGGGAAGTTCTTGAGGAGAACAGATTTGATCCAATGAATTAGAGATAGGTATATTGTGGTTGTTTGTCAGATGAAAGTGATGTTCTTTACTATTGTATTATTTAAATTATTTACACTTATATCAGAGATATATTTTTGGAATGTGTGTTATTTATTGACACAATTGACACATTCTCAATAAATAACACACATTCCAAAAAATATATCTCTGATATAAGTGTAAATAATTTAAATAATACAATAGTAAAGAACATCACTTTCATCTGACAAACAACCACAATATACCTATCTCTAATTCATTGGATCAAATCTGTTCTCCTCAAGAACTTCCCGTTTATTGTCAAAACAACTGCAATAGCACATTAAAGTTCTCCAATCAACAATACATGATTTTTGCAACCATGACCTACCATCCATCAATTAATAGAGTACCGGCATGTAAGTAATGTTTGTTTTGTTTTATTTATTTGCTCATTTATTAATTTATTACAATATAAGATTGCTACTTTATACCAATTGTGGGTCTTACCTTGTCTGTTAATACCTTTTATATATTCAAATTATTCATTTTGAAAACCACAGACATGTAATATTGGCATAATTACTATAATTTGTATGAACTAATTTATTTGTTTATTTTATCTTTATGAGACACCGCCCTAATTGGGTTTATTTTATTGCAGCATTAGTTTAACTTTGTATCTCGACCTGAAGATGCTTTGCAAATTGTAGAAAGCGAAACCGGTCGTCAGATTGTTAAATTAAATTGATTGTGAGTAAGTCTTATTATTATTTCTTTACCTATTTGATATGGACTCACACAAGCAACACATTCATGAATAGAACAATAAATTTCGATATAGCAGTGTTGGTATGTTTTTAGAATGTAGATGTTGTATACTTCAAATATAAAAAGATAAAGCTTTAGAAAAGTACATTTTGTTTATATTGTGTTATGAATTCTGCAATTTTTGATTTATATAAAACAACAATGAGTAAGTATTTGTTTCTTTGGAGATTAATTGCAGTTAATTATTATAATTTTTTTAGCAGTTACCCTTTGATAGATTAGGGGATAGATTTGGCAATCGTCAAATCAGCAGTTGCCAGATTACAAAAGATGTTTGCAATTAATCTCGAAAGAGACAAATATCTACTCGTTATTACTTCATATATAATAAAAATTGCAGAATTCATAAAATAGTATAATCAAAATGTACTTTTTAAAAGCTTTATCTCTTTATATTTGAAGCATTCAACATATGCATTATAAAAACATGCCAACACTGCCAAACCCAAATATTTGTGACATTTGCGGCTATATTCAGCTTGTACTTTCGGTAAACTCAACCAAGTTCGGTTATCTCGTGTAAGGTGTATACCCTATCATGTCTTTTAAGTTTCCTTTTGATGATTGAAAAATCCCTGTCACAAGGAAGGTAGGAGTGTCTTCTAATGGGATAATATTGCTCAATTCGATTGAATCGACCACTGTCGGTAAGGGCTAAAAACACTCTGTTTAATGTATGGTTCTTATTTTGACCTTTGCAATTATTTGAGTATATGTGGACTTCCGTAAACTGAGGAGGAGCAGAGTTCAAATAATTATATACAAAGGAACAAACCTCATCCGGACTTTTTCTGGCGGTGGTTATTTATTTTTATTAGGAATTCATAGAACACATTAATACAGTACAAACACAGATGTTAACAGTGTTGCCTACAAAAACATTCTGACTCACTGACATAGAATCTTTTAGTCTAAAATGATCTATTTCAGTTTTCTATTTAAAATACATGGAGAGTAGAGACTTAGAATGTTTTTGTACCAAAAGATGCGACATATAGAACAATTTTCCATCAAAATGTCAAAAATGAAAAAAAAACGACTTAGAATGTTTTTGTTTACACT